GTTATGCAAATCTTCCCACACAGTGACGTAGACATGTGGGGGCGTGTTTAAACGAGGCGTTTTAGGAGGGCGTGGAATAGTCTTAACTTTGATAAAGAATATCTCTTTGGGTTTGAGACTTTAGTCTTTGCAACTTTAGGGATCTTATCTATTCACGAACAGCTTGTAACACTCCAAAGAGAAAGGAGAACTTGAAATCGCATCATTTCAATGTTAACAGAGGTGCCGTGTGTCTCTCCTGTCTGTAGGTGTATCTGTCCCTGCTGCGCATGTATCTGTCTCCTCCGGACGTGCACTTCCTCGGGCCCATAAAGATGGAGTTATGTGAGCCACAGGCAAACCTCCAGGCGGCCCTGAAAGTTCTTCAGCTCCACCACAGCAAACTGAACACCACCAAAGTGAGCATCCACCAAATACTAACAATATCATAGGCTATCAAACACCCAGAACACCGTAGCATCCACATAGGAAATCTCTGAAAAGCACCCAGAACACTCAAGCATCATAACATCTTCTCCATGGGCTAGAACACAGGAAAATATACATTTGATTCTGGAATTGAAGACGTTATCACCAAACCATGATAGTTTCCTTTCCTCAGCTGACTGAGAGTGAGATACTGAAAAACTGCATGTTGTATGCTGTTCATGTTCCTGTTGAATTTAGTTCCTCTTTCCTTTGTAGTGTTGAAGTTCCATCTTGTTAGGATGTCAAAAAAGCTGAAGCCATTTGACAATTTCAAATCACTTACAGAATCCATGGCACGCTGTCTTACGCCGTTTCTCTCTGCCTTTCATAAGGCCATAAACCTGCTGCCAGCCAACACACAGATCCGAGAGATCCAGGTCTTTCTGGAGAGTGTGCTGGAGGAGAAGGCTGGGAGGAAGCGCTTTGACCAGGTCCTGAAGAGCCTCCTACAGGCCGAGTTCCTGCGGGTTTGTTAACAGTTTTCACTTGCTTTTAAAGCTGTATTCCGTGTTTTTAAGGTACTGGTGACTGCATCATTTTGTCAGATTACACAGTTACTTGATGAAAAATCACTAGATGTTACTAGAAGATGCAATAACTGCTAAGTTGTTAAATGTTGAATAAGAAGCATCACTAATTCTAACTAATTACTCTCCAAAATGGCCCTTATGTTTCGTTTAATTTAATAATGTTTGAATGGGTTTTGTCCGTGTGCAGGTGCAGGAGGAACGTATCTTTCACCAGCAGGTGAAGTGTGTCATCACAGATGAGAAAACCTGCAGAGTGTGCAAGAAGAAGATCGGAAACAGGTGCGCTTCATGCTAATATCTCACATTATTGCAGGATTCTTTTCCGTAATGCATTCGCTTATACACACCATGCGCATTTTGTTTTTTGAAATGCAAAAGTGTATACTTTTGTGTGTAGCGAAAGACATAAGACCACAGACATAACAGAGTTAAATGCATTTAATAGAAAATCTGATATCTGATAAATTGCATTGAGAGAAAAAAAAGAGAAGTTGCATCGTTGATTAGGGCTGCACAATTAATCGAATTTCTAATCGCGATTACAATTATGGACGCCACAATTACGTAATCGTTCAAAACGTTCAATTAATCGTTCAAAGTCCACTTATGTTATTCTGCACGCTTAAGATATGTTTTTTTCTTTCTACATGTTATCTTAAGGGTTTTTTCCATTGTTTTAGTTTTAGTATAACATTATAATACCATTCATATATTTACTTTTTTATAATTTAAAGAAGTAACCAATCCCCTGTATATTTGACGTTTGAAGGCT